TGACCCTTAAGTTAATATATCACAGGCAATTAAAAACAAAGTACACCTGTCTTATCAAGTACCGGTTTTCACGTTTCCTAATTCTAAGTCCCCAAGTGCATCCAGCAGATGGTGCTCTAGGACACCTCCTCACAGAAAGTAATACTGTTTGTATTGCATCCACCTATGTTTTGTCAAGACAAAGAATAAGGATTTATCGGTAGCTTCAGTAAAACATATCAGGCTTTACAATAAACAGGACATAATTTCTAAATGTGTGCACAAAAATATGCATATGCATAAGCATATATGCACAGAGGCAACCAGTAAATAATTCACACCTGGACATATTATGATACTACTTTTCTTACAGACTTGATGAGTAGTCCATGTGTATATCAGTAGTATTTATAGTCATATGGCAACATCATTCTAAATTCATTAAAAAAAAATTTAGAATGCCTTAAAGTTAGAATTCATTTTTAATTATAGCAGGAATGTCTCATTAGGGTGATACTAGTAAAATTAACAACAGTAGGATTTACGGTAATGACTTAAGTGATTGATGAGAGTAGAACAAAATGAAGTTTTAGACAGAGAAAAAGCAGGGCAGCTATGGCATACAGTACTTTAGAAAACAGCCCTGCAGTCTGTTAGTACTAGCCTTATGGTTAATAAAACCTTCTTTCTAATTAATGGTGCTGAAATATTCTTAAAGAGCAGAATCTTGTTGTTATGAAAAAAACATAGTTTTTTTTATTCAGTAGACGCCATTCTCATAAAGGAGAAAGCTGACATAGATTACTATGTCTGATTGCAATGAGGAAAAAAATGCCACCTTTCAATCAAATCAAAACCAGAATGCACGAATGGTAAACTACTTTACTGAAATACTACACACACAAATCTATGCAACACCCTCACAGTCAGCAACCATTTGCTTCTGAAGCTGATCGACTGTGGCTCTAAAAAAATTAGTCAGACACCTAAAAATACCTAATAAGTGCTTAATTTTTAAAAAATCCAAGTTCATAATTTATTAATATAATATAAAAATAGTGACTGAATAAACTATTTTGTATATTTTCATCTTGCTTATCTAAATAAGATTATGTCAAAATTTAAAAGTATTTAAATATAAATTCAATGCACTGGGGAACATTTTCTCCAAAATCTGGAAATGTGCAGTCTGGATAGCATTATTCTGAAGGAAAGATGGGCATCTCAGGAAAAGTACTTTGGTGGACAAGATTAAATGCTAAAACACAAAGAGGACTAAGGCAAAGAGAGATGTGATGCTTCCATACAGAAAACGCTTTTCATTGAAATATTCTCTGTTAATAGTATTTTAAAAATCCACAACTAAATGGAAGCTTATTTTAATTCTTCTCATGGAGAAAACTGCATTCCACAGACAATAACTATCACTAGACAATAGACTCAAAGACGAACAACCACCTGGCATACAGGAAAACAGGCCTTTAGCCATGTAATCTGGGCTGGTTTCATAAAAGGGTTGCGGCTTTCTAAAGTTTCAAATTATCCTATTTACAGATTTTATCCAGTTTGAATTAGCCTGTTTTGCCAAAGCAATATGCGTATCAATATTGGATAACATATCTTTAAAAATTAGTTGGCAACCCCCTCAGGTCCCCTCCCTTTCTGGGAGCTTTTCTGTCTTCCCAATAAACTCCCCTCCAAAAAATAGCTATGCAGTAATCAACTTTACATATGACGTCAGTATTAGTTTTGGAGAAAATGCTGTATGTAGGCTTATGACCCTAAAAAGTAAAATGACTATTTTCATAATTGTGAAAATAAAAAATCTAAATGCCTGAATAAGACCTGTAAAATGCTGACAAAAGCAATAGCCTAATTTTCTTTCATTTATCTACTTTTCCTTTGAGAAAAAGCCTACAATCAAAAATGTAGAGTTGACATTATGTGCATTTATAGAAAATATTGCAGGTATGTGTGCAGAAAAGCTTGACACTTCTCAAAGGTCATTTATATTGCGTCTAAGAGGAACGATGCAGGAATAAGCATCACCTAAAACCCCTCATCTGAAAAGGTATGACTTCGGCAGCTGCACTGTGGAACCATCAGTAAGCCAGAGGCTTACAATATCCGAACCAGCTTGTGTGAATGTTTGAAACAGTTCACACACGGTGCAAATGTCTTTGTTTTTGTTTGTCATTATCTTTCGAAAAAGCTTGAGCTGGCTTTTTCGTTTTCCTATTCTAATGTGTGCAAATTCTCATGATAAGGAAAAGCGCCTATTTGTCTTTCCTCCAGATTCATCTTTCAAAGCTAAAGCAAAATTAAATCGGGACATCAGATATTTTAAAAGGGCCAGAAAGGATGAGGCTCACTTTGATAAAGGTAATTTAATTTAGCCAGGATGCATTAACATTTTCTAAATTTTTTTTAACCATGCTGTTATATTATTCTTTTATTTTTTATTTTCATTACCAGCATTACTAGGAGTTAATGTCCACCATACTGCAGACAATGAGAAGGTACAGATGAAGTGCTTTATGAAAAATATAACATTATAATGTGTACTCTAACGCCAACAAGATGGTGTTTTGTGATGATTTATTTGCCCTAAGCATCCTGTGCTCCTGATAATACCTTAAGTCAGTTAGTACTGTTGTTGCTTTCATTTCACAGACAAGATAGAAAGACCACAGCAAAGCTTGGAACTTAGACTCTTTTTACTACAAACCCCAGGATTTGTTCACTCCTACTTGATTCACTTTTTAGAGGACATGCATGTAAAAACCATCTCTGGGGTGAATTATAAAATACACCAAAATATATTTAAAACACTAAAATATATTTAAACATATACAAATCATGATATATATCATATTTTCTTTCTTCTGGAAAAACTGAAAATCCTAATTTTAAAATATACGTAGGTTTCTGAAATGCCACCCACATACAAGGGTAGCTAATAAGCCTTTAGCTACTTCTCAAGTATATATTGGTAATAACTACGAATAACATATAGAATATGATTAAGTCAAACAAGCAAAAACCAAACCAAACCAAATACCTTTGTGTTTGTGTTCAGATTTCTGTATGTGCCTGAAACATCTTACATTATTTTAAGGTAAGAAAAAGTTCTTCCTAAATATTTTGAGATGAATAGCAAAATTGTAGATTTATTATCTATGTCAAATGTAGGTTTGCCTGAGATAATTTAATGAATCTCTGAGGCTTGGTAACTGATTTATAAGAACAGGAAAAAAGAAATTGAAAGTAGTCAGTCGCTCATTCTAAAAGGCCAGAAAGGAAGACGGACCAGAATGTCGTAGTACAAGATGAAAAAAGATGAAGTTATTTTCAAAAGAATATGAAAAACAAAATCCCTGAAAGGTACATCTTTAAAATTTTTATTGTAATTACATGTCTAAGTATGTGAAATACATGCGCACACGCTATCCCCCTATGCTACAGTATGATCTGATCACAATTTGATCTGTATTATCCATAGCATCAGAGTGTTAAAATTATTTTTATGTTCTATTTGTGTAGTGAATCAGCCTTTTTTTATTAAAGTAATATCTATTAGAGGTTCATTGAATAAAAATTGTGTTCACCCACCACATCAAAGTCTATAATGTACATAATAAGAAACAGCTTTGAAAACTATTTTGCATATGCTTCTTTTAATATAGTACTAGCATTTGACTACATTTTTGGGGGAAAACGTTTTGCTGCCATACAGATATTATACATTTAGGCACAGTTTCGCAAAACTGATCCATTAATCCGAAATCTGATGGACTCAAACCTGTTCAGATTGTTTCACAATTTGGGATGACATGACAGATGCAAGGACTGGGGCATTTAGGTAAAATAATTAGGAACAACATGATCCTTCCTAAGCACATACACTGCAACTTGCCTTAAATTAATAAACTGTAAATATTTAAGAGCAATTAAAATGCTCTACCTTATGAAGTAAAAATCTAAAACCATTCTTTCAGGAATTCTTCAGTATTATCATAATCATTTTAATTAAATTCTCATTTTTCAGGTGGTCCCTTTAATTGTTTTTTTCCTACTTCTTAATGTGTTTTTCTAAAGCCATTTCTTTTCTGCAGCTGTGTGCGATTGGTTTTAATGGTAGCTGCTTCCTTTTTTGCCTTCTGTGAATTACAATTTTAAATGGTTACACATTTTTTGTTTTACTGCCTTCAGCATAGTTTCATAAAGATGTTTAAGGCTGTTGGTGAACATTTCCCATCTGAAAAACCAAGTGCCAATTTGAATATTCCATATTGGCCTTTTATGACCTGTTTTATCTTTTAATATGTAAATGAAAGCATAATTTTATAAAGACTGGTTTTCATGAAATTATAATTTTTATTTGTTCTTTTAAAATATGAATTCAATAAGCAAGATAATATGTGATTGCTCTTTTATGCTCTATCTTATTGTTCATGAATGAAAACTTCTATTTATTTGGTGACAGCCATTTTCAATGAAGAACTGGCGTTTTTGGTTCATAAGAATAACCTATAACATGAAAAATGAGATTCTGTGCTTGGATTTTAATCATCAATTAATGAGACCTTCTAGATCTTTCTTTCTTTTTTTTTTTATTTGGAGTCTCACTTGGTCGCCCAGACTGAAGTGCAGTGGCCGCTCCTGGCCACTGCCGCCTCGCCTGCTGGGCTCCGGTGATCCTTCCGCCTCAGCCTTCCAAGTAGCCGGAATTACAGGCATGCGCTACCACATCCGGCTGATTTTTTAATTTATTGTAGAGATGAGGTCTCGCTGCCCAGGCGGGTCTCGAACCCGCGGGCTCAGGCAATCCACTCACCTCAGCCTCCCAAAGGCGCGGGATTACAGGCTGAGCCACCGAGCCCAGCTCTAGATCTTTCTTAAATTAAAATTAAAAATACTTAATAGTTCAGTTTCACTCTCACCATAACAAAAAGGTAGCCATTGCAAAATGTTATTCTGCATCACTTGTAAAAGTTTACTTAAAAAGAAGTCATACTTACTGCCAGGATTATCTCCAATCCCACTGCTTTTTCCATTCCAGTACCATAGCAGAAGGGTTGCGTCACGTGACCCTGAGAGAATGTAGCAATTTCCCCCAATATACGACTCAGAACGAGTGAGGCAAGTGACGACATCCCAATGGCCAAACACTACTTGGATCAATTTTCCTGAAATAAAAAGACATTTTCTTTAAAACTGCTATTAAAATTTTTTTCTAGCAATCTGATAATTTGTAAGACAATGATGTAATAATATTAGCTCAGATTCTCATAATTCAGATTTTGTAATAATTTGACTTGCTCCAACCTAAAAGTTTCCTTTAAATACTAATAGTAGCAACAAAGAAACAACAGAATGGTGATAACATTTCTGAAAGGAAGACGTATGTTAAAATTATTTCGAAGAATAATATTTGAGGACCATGACACCTTATCATTAAAAACGGCTACTATAAATTACAAATGAATCATGTTTACTGATTAAAGCAGGCCCAGGAGGAAACTTTGGAACCATTTAAACACTTTTGAGCTACTCTATGTGATTCAAAATAAAACTTCGTTGCATTAATTCAGACTTCACTAATAAAAACCTATCTTTGAATTAGTGAAGATTTAATGTATTTCCTCTTTTTTTAAAAAGTGACCTACACAAGGACAGTATGAGTCACTTTGGAGAGCTTTTGCTTTTTAAAATCAGGATTATGTGAAAATTTTGATGCAAAGTATGAATGAATTGTGACTGGAGAGTAGGCCATGCCATTTTTTCTTTGTTTTAATAGTCTGAATGATGAAAATTTCTTTGGGGTGAAATCAAGATTATGGTGGTTTAATGGTCATGACTGGGACAGTGGAAAAGAACCCAGTAAACTTACTATATATCTAGGCCTTCAAACACATGAAGAGTCGTTCACATAAAGGTGTCAGAAAAAGAGTAAAGCTTTCACCTTTTAGAATCTTTGCCTAATCAGGTACTGTGGTAATAATTCACACAGGCAAGTCTAAAGAATTAAATATCTGCAGTAGTCCCTGCTTCCAACCCTATAATTTCTAGCTAACATTTCCCTTTGAAATGTCTACAGAATCTACAAATAAATGTCACAGAATGTCTACCCATAATATTCAGCATGGCTTTCTTTTTTTTGAATAAGTGTTTCAGTGGGATCATAAAAATATAACTCAGATGTTCAAGAAAAAAAGACTACTAAGCTGCGAATAAAATTAATATGCCTAAAACATTTATGTGTTTAATTTGGAATACATTATAAACTTTTAAAGTTTAAGGTCTCAATTAAGTATTGGCATCTCAGTGTATTTAACTTCTCAAGATAAATATAACTAAGAAAGTATTTACATTAAATTTTTTAAATTCTTGATTTTAATAAACCTGAGGCTTATTATGAAGGCTGAACATTTAGAAATAAAATCCTGAAACATTATCTAAATCAGATGGAAAGTCAGATACATATTTTCATCATGAGTGGCAGTCTTGCACAGGGCCTACTTCCAGCAAATTTAAAATCAGATTCATTTCAATCTTAAATTGCAAAATCAATGAAGTACAATTTTTTCTCCTATGATTAAGGGGAAGCAAAGACTTCAGTCAAAGCAGGTGTTTTGATGGCTCAATGTTCAAGATGTTCACTTCTGAATTTCTTCAGCCTTTTACATTAACATCAAAACATTTCATTTAAAAAAATTAGCTTATATCAACAAGAATATTGTAAGAGGGGCTGGGTGCAGTGGCTCACACCTATAATCCCGGCGCTTTGGGAGGTCGAGTTGAAAAGACTGCCTGAGTCTGCGGGTTTGAGACCAGCCTGGGAAACTTGGTGAGATCTCATCTCTATAATAAATCAAAAAAATAGCCGGGTGTGGTGGTACATGCCTGTAGTTCTAGCTACTTGGAAGGCTGAGGCGGCAGGATCACCTGAGCCCAGCAGGTCGAGGCTGCGGTGGTTGTGAGTGTGTCACTGCACTCCAGCCTGGTTGACAGAGTGAGACTCCAACTCCAAAAATATATATATATGTGTATGTATGTGTGTGTGTGTGTGTGTGTGTGTGTGTGTGTGTGTGTATTCTTATCATATATATATGGTAAGAAGAATTCAAGACTTTCTAAAATAAAAAAATTTAAGGCACAAATTAAAAATGAAAAATACAATTATTTTTACTTCATTTTCAATTTATACAAAGAACAGAGGGGGGAGGCTTTGCAGTAAAATTACAGGGGTTAGATTAAGGGCAGACCTTATATAAGACAACAAGGTTAGGTAGCTGAATGCACTTTAATTAGAAAACTGAAAGTAAAATCAATGTATTTTTAACTTCTGTAGGGAACTGAATATATCATATTGTGATGTTTTGATCACAGAGTACATACAGTGAATTCTGCTTTAGTCTATACCTAAATGCTGAGAGAATGTAAACTACAGGAGTGACTTACATAGGTTATTTGGGGATAGGCTTAATTGGAATTTGAAATCCCACAATTCAGTGGGTTGTAGGAGTGAGAATGAGTAAAGCAACTGCATGCAACCAACCAGATACTTGAGGGAGATGGCACAGAGGAAACCCAGGTGTTCCTCCAGCACCAAGAGGCTTACAAAGAACAGCTACTCACTTGGTAACTTCCTTACTTTCCAATTCATGTGAGGACAAAAATGTAAAGCTACAGATGTAAAAGTGGGTGGGTTAAAGATAGAGGCAAAATTTTCAAAAATTCACATGTTAATTCTCATTAGTTAAAGTCATTGTTCTGCTCCTCCAACATCACTGGGAGGAAAATGTACACTCAGTCATTGTGGTTCTTTTTTTTAAAATTTATTTTATTTGTATTAATTTTAAAATATTTTATTTTAGAGACAGGGTTTTGCTATGTTGCCCAGGCTGGTCTCAAACTCCTGAACTCAAGCAATTCTCCTGCCTTGGTCTCCTAAAGTGCTGGGATTACAGGCATGAGCCATTGTTCCTGGCTATGGTTTCTTTTTCAACTAAAATTTTCTAGTGTTTTAATTATTAGCACAATTAATTTTATTTCAACACATTTATTTAGCACCTATTAAGAGCCAAGTATTAGGCCTTTTTACCTGTATACAGTGGTAAAAAAAATAGACATTGTCCCTCTCCTCAGAGCATTTACTCTCTAGTGGGGCAAACACCACAAACCGATGCATAATTATCAACAGGGATAAGTATTAGAAAAGAACAGAGTAGGATCAGTGAAAATAACAAGGTAGAACAAATGTAGACTAGGTGTCAGGGAAGATCTAAACGAGAGAGGGACATTTGTTACTTTTAAATGATTTTATATATTAATACAAATTAACTTTATTCTCTACATTTATACTTTGGGCTCAACTCTAAAAAACATTATTTTTTAAAGTTTACTTTTTCCTGTTCTGGCAGCCTTCCTCAGCAATATTTGTTATTGCCATGAGGTTGGGGTTCACTCCTCCTAAATAAATCACAGCATTTAAATACCTGCTGCTCTTTTTGGTAAATTATTTTCTGATAATCTCATAAGTGTTCCTCAACCTTTATTTTTTGTTTCCTTTAATACCAGTCCACCTCTCCACACACTAATATCAAATATTACCACAAGCACTAGAATATCCCTTTTTTGACAGAACAAATTTTCTAGTTAATGTTTTATTTGACAGCTGTGCTACAAATAAAAAAAATTCCAAGCACAGGACTCTGCACCACTGAATCTAAAATGTGGCCTGAAAATAATTCCGACTGCCGGGGAAGGTTTTATTGTTGCCTCTGCTGTTCTGGTTGTGCCCCGAAAACATGATTTATGTTTAAAGAATTTCCTGTTACAACCCATGTTTCTCCTCCCCCGCCCCCAAACCTAATAAGAGAAGGATTTTTTTTTTTTGCTTGTGTGCTAAAATATAATTGAAATCAACACTTGTGATAGCTTTGCCATTATATATTACTGATCACAAAATTTTCCCCTTGTTTCTCTGCTAAATTTAGGAGAAAATATTTAATATTCTTATTTTCATAAAACACAAATACATATTTACCCTAACTGAAATTATTTTAAATAAAAATAGTATCAGAGTTTCTATACACAATATTAAGAAAGACACCAGGACTATAATTTGAGGATTTTCCTGCAACTTTCTGGCAAGTATAAATATTTTCATTCCACAAGCTAAGTCAGTCTCAGTTTCTCTGAAATGAAGTTTAAAATAAGGCTATTCCTTATGAATATATATACATATTTTTTGAGACATGGTCTCACTCTGTCTCCCAGGCTGGAGTGCAGTGGTGCCAACATAGCTTACTGCAGCCTCAACCTCCTGGGGTCAAGCAATCCTCCCTCCTCAGCATCCCTGGTAGCTGGGACTACAGGTGCGCACTACCACATCTGGCTAATTTTTTGTTTTTTACTTTTTGTAGAGACAGGGTCTTGCTATGTTGTTTAGGCTGGTCTCAGACTCCTGGGCTCAAGCAATCCTTCTGCCTTGCCTCCCAAAGTGCTGGGATTACAGATATGAGCCACAGTGCCAGGCCATGAATATATTTTACACACACACACACACACACACACACACACACACACACACACATTAAAAAACTACACATTAAAAGATTTCTGGAGAGGGGGAAGAATGAAATCTGGCTTATTAAGTCTAATGTAACATGGTAGATATATTAGAGACTTAGTGCTACAAAATTACAGCATTTTCCAAATTAACCAGCAATTGGCTGGTAACACCTGGATGAGACAACATGGTATAATCACAAAGAATGCTACATTTAAAATTATAAGAACTAGGTCTAAGGTCCAGTTCTGTCACCATGAGCTACAGAAATTTCAACAAGTTACTCAACCTCTTTTTTTTTTGAGTTGCAGTCTTACTCTGTTGCCCAGGCTGGAGTGCAGTAGCACACTCATGGCCACCACAGCCTTGACCTGCTGGGCTCAGGCAATCCTTCCACCTCGGCCTTCCAAGTAGCCAGAACCACAGGCATGCACCACCACGCCCGGCTAATTTTTTGATTTATTGTAGAGGTGAGGTCTCGCCATGTTGCTCAGACTGGTCTCGAACTCCTGAGCTCAGGCAATCCTCTCGCCTCCGCCTCCCAAAGTGCTGGGATTATAGGCTTGAGCCACCACGCCTGCCTTGGTTACTTAACCTCTTTAAACCTCAGTTTCATCATCTGAAAAATGGGGAAAAAACACTTGTCTACCTCACAGGATTATTCTGACATAATGTGAAGTATGTGAAGGAATTCTGAAAAATCTAAAAAACTGTGCGAATATGAAGATTATTTTAAATATTATTATTCTATGGAAGTGAAGTTAGCTTTACTTTATAAATATTAATATTCAGTGTCTTTAAAAAACAATAATATGGAATGTCAACAAACTAAAAAAGTTCAAATGTTAATACCAAGGATTGACATGGTTTATGCTTTGATTCATATGACATTCTGGAAAAGGCAAAACTAGAGACGAGGAATAGATCTGTGGTTGCCAGGAGGCTGAGGGAGGGTAAAATGCTGACTTCTAGCAGACAGCCCAGGGGGTCTGGGGCCACAGAGCTACTCTGCACTGTGAGTATGGGGGTGAATTATTCTATGCAAAGCCAAAAAGATAGAACTGTGAACTGAAAAGAGTGAATTGTACACAGTAAAATTAATCTTTACATTTAAAAAATTTAATAACTTTAAATATGTTTAAAAAGGCACCGTGAAATCTAAAAGAATACTTATGAAAAACTCCTGAGAGGATGTAACAGATTTAACCAGAAAGTTACTAAAAAAAGAGCAAAATCTGAGGTCAAATAATGTTAAGGCTGTAATTATAAAGGCTACAATTTGAATTTGATGAATAAATCAGTGAAATTATATTATAATAATAAATAGGTATTAGGAAAATAAATCGATTACATTGCATTTTTAGAAAATGTTAAAGCAGTTTTAGGTTCAACAGTAATCTACCTCATAGACTTATAAACAAGTAGGAAAAACCCAGATAATCAGAAAGACTTGAACTGATGATGCTTTCTTTCCTGGACCAACAGAATAAAGATGCAAATTATAAGAAAACTGGATCATCAATTCCATAAAACAAAGATACAAAGAATCAGGCCTAAAAAACAACTTCTAAAGTTTACTCTATATATACCACATATTCAACTCCTTTTCCCTACTCTTAGTTGTGTTATAATACTATCATAAAAATACACAAACAAGTTACATCCTTATACAAGGACAATCTCCTTGAATAACCAAAAATTAACTGATCAATATACAATATTTACTAAGACAAAGCATGGACTCATACATTTTATGATAAATTCTTTTTATTTATTTATTTATTTTGAGTTGGAGTCTCACTCTGTCGCCCAGACTGGAGTGCAGTGGCCGCTCCTGGCCACTGCAGCCTCGACCTGCTGGGCCCTGGCGATCCTTCCACCTCAGCCTTCCGAGTAGCCAGAACTACAGGTGCGCGCTACCACGCCTGGCTAATTTTTGATTTATTGTAGAGATGAGGTCTCGCCAAGTTGCCCAGGCGGGTCTCAAACCTGCGGGTTCAGGCAATTCACTCACCTCAGCCTCCCAAAGGCGCGGGATTACAGGCTGAGACACCGAGCCCAGCTTATGATAAATTCTTAACCACAAAGCTGAAAGATGATTTACTGTAAAGCTAGACATTAACTAGACATTTTAATTAAATTAATTAACAATTTTTTACTTCTTAGATTAAATTTTTATTAATTAAAAAGAGTTTTTCTTTCTCACAACGTTTTATAAAGATACATGTAGGTCTTGTTTCAGTTGAAATATCTGCTTTCATTGTATAAAGTCATGTCCTGCATAACAACTTTTGGTCAACAATAGAGCACTTACACAATGTGGTCCCGTGAGATTGAGATCATAACAAAGTTGCAAAATTCCTATCACCTAATGACATCATAGCCATCAATAATGGCAAAGTGTAATGCATTACTCCTGTATTTGTGGTGATGCTGGTGTAAACAAATGTGCTGTGCTGCTAGTCTTATATAAAAGTGTAGCACATACAATTATATACAGTACAAAATACCTGATAACAATAAATGACTGTATTACTGGTTTATGTTTTACTATCCTATACATTTTTTTTTTGAGTCAGTCTCACTCTCCTTGCCCAGGCTGTAATGTAGTGGCACAATCATGGCCACTGCAGCCTTGACCTACTGGGCTCAGGCAGATCCTTCCACCTCAGTCTTCCAAGTAGCTGGAATTACAGGCACGCACCACCACGTCTGGCTAATTTTTTATTTATTGTAGAGATGAGGTCTTGCCAAGTTGCTCAGACTGGTCTCTAACCCCTGGGCTCGCAATCTGCTCACCTATGCATCCCCAAGTACTGGGATTACAGTAGTGGGCCACTGCACCCAGCCTATCCTATACTTTTTTTTTTTTTTTTTTTTTTTTG